ACCAAAATCATCAACCAACATGTATCAAAACTATATATAGTCACAAATAATTCACAATTTATCTCATGCAAATTCTGAAGTGCAAGACAGATTAAGCTCTTTTGTACACGGTTAAGCAGCAGAAAATCCTTTATTTTTTAATTAATTAATTATTATTGTTGTTACTGTGAAAATACTGTACAGAGGGGTTAGTTACAATTACATGAGCAAGGTAATGAGCACATTTCTTATCAAGCATTGTTGCCTCCTCCTTTGTTTCCCCTTATCATCCCTGGCCTCCCATCTCCCCTCTCCTTTCCCTCTCCGCCAAAGTTGTAAAATTTGTTTTTCGACATTGCATCTTGAACATCTCATTGTTGCAATGGGTCCACTTGTATCCCTATTTAAACAATTTGTTTTTCCCTTCCCCCCAAAAAAATTATACCAACATCAAATACAGTGAAAACAGGGGTTATACCGTGAGGGAGGGACATACAAAGCAACAAATCATCTTATAAATATATTAGAAACAATAGCAAGAAAGAAAAACAATCTGAGTCTTATCTTGGGGTTCATAGGTCCCATGGTTTCCCTCAATTGGAAAAACTTGTATATGTCTGAGACAAGCAGATATGGTCAGACAAGTTGATGTTAGGAGAAATGAACCCCAAGATGAGAAAATCCTTTAAAATAACATTTAAATACATGCAAGCCATAAAATAATTCATGAATCTCAATAGAACAAGATTAAGACTTTAATTCGGAATTAATGGTAATAACCTGCCACTATTCTGATCATACAATTGTTTGTTGATATCATTTTTCATAAATTATCATAAATTTTACTCTCAATCTACTTATATTTTAATTTAAAAAGTTTTCTATTTCAAATACCCTTACCATTTTTCCTGGCATTAATGGTTTGTAATCATGTTGATGAGTTAACTTCTTAACAAAATATGATTTACTGATGTTTAACAATGGAATGAGTCTGTGCCTGATGAAAACAAAAAACAATATAATAAAAGCAGTGTATGTGTGCAGCTTATGAGACAGAGGGCCGTGTGTGTTTCAGGATACGGATGTGCCTAGAATATAGAGGTGCTCTTTATCTGGTTGACAAAGGAATATCTTCCTGCCCTAACTTAAATGACTCCAGTGTACTACAAGAAGAGCAGAGTGGAAGTAAATGACTTTATTGCTAATTTCCAGAGTGAAGGTTTGAAACATATATATATATATATATATTATATATATATATATATATATATATATATATATACTTAAGTATCTTTTGTGGAAGCAATTATCAATACCGGTTCTTAAAAATGTGTAAGTAATTATGCAAAAATTCTACTTATTTTCATCTGCACCATTGGTAACATATTTAAATGTAAAAAATTATTATATATAAAAAACATCTGCCTGTACTTTATAAAGAAAACTATACAGTAACGGAAAAATATGAAGTGCAATTTCATGAACTTCATATCCATGCATGCATTCCTATCAGTTTCTAACTATATTTAAAATTGATGTTTTAGAAATTTTAAAGCGTATAACAAATCATCATTTTATAGTAACCATCCAAGAATCATCCAATGCCAACATCAATCAATGTTTTATTGATTAAACTAGTTCACCATATAGTAGTAATAATGATTATTATTATTATTAATACTACTACTTTGCTAGACTATGACTCTTTGTTCCTTCTGGTTAAAAGACATTACATGGAACATTATTCTATTTGAAGTCAACACTTTGGGTTGAATGTTGTAATACATTGAATCGTTTTCCATGAGTAATTAGGTGTGAATTGTGAACACTTCTTAAATGAGGCTTGACTTTAGGACTTTCCTTGTCTTTTCCCGTTTGTCAGCTTGCCCAGTGCTATTACACAGGATGAAGAATCACTGTTTTAGTAGATAGTTATATTGGATGAAGTTCTGGCTAAAAGCAGTTTAGCTTAACCATACAGTAAAGGCTAGTCAAGATATTTTTTGTCTCTCTGCTTCTCTTTTTCTGTGATTGGAAAATTCACATGTGATCTTCCATGTTGTAGGCTTAGGAGAAAGAGGATAAATATGGATAAAATTTTTCTCTAGTCTAAATTATAATTTTTTTGTTCATTTGGTCTAGCTCAATTCACCAATCATTAATGTGCCAATTTTATCTCATTCTTGTTTAATTTTTTGTTTTTCCTCCCTCTATATATTCTTATACATATTCATATATATTATTATTATATATGTGTGTTCATATATATGTTGATTATATATATATATATATATATTCTTTGGGAACATCAGAAGAAAATACAGTTAATGGTAGTTGTATCTCATTCAAGTATTCAAAATATCTCTTGACAATTTAATAGATGGAAATAAGATGATTGTTTCTAACATGTTTTTCTACCAGTGAATTTCCCATAGAATATTCACCAAATTACCTAGAATTTGTTGTAAAGCAAAAACCACACATTCATTTAGTATACATTTAAATTAGCGTCTGTACTTAAACACAAATTGCTTTACATGTAAGATACATTTAGTAATGTATCATTCCTTGTATGGGACCCAACAGAGAAATACCAATTTAAGTGGGCAAATGTGCACTCTATGATTGCTGCTATGATAATGATTGTATTTGTAAAATGAGGTGGTATATTTGTTTCTCTAAAATGATACTCTTAAGCTAGATTTGGGCTGAACAGAAACATAATTTAAGATACAAAATATTTGTGGTTATAACCCTCATTTTGTCCATATATATAGTTAATATATCCTAAAAGTTGCATTTGTTTTCTAATTGAATATTATAAAATTCCTAATCTATTTAGAATATTACTCAAACATCAACTTTTAAAACTCATCTCACTCTGACATGTTATATGCTTCTAAAATATTTCATCATACTGGCTATAAGGAAAACAGTACAATATGGTTACAGGCAAGTAAAAATTATTTACCTATATATATATATAAATACACATATATTATTACCAGTTTGAAGTTTACTCTATAAAATATATTTGATAACTCTGAAGACTAGTCCTGAAACAATATTTGATAATAATTAAAATGCAAATATTTTTCTCTTGGTTTCAATACAAGCCCAAATAAAAGATTTAAATACTCTCGTATATTTCCAAAAAGTCTGTTCATAAACTGGTTTGACACTTTTACTTAATATAGTCTACAAATGTTTAAAATTGAGAAGAGAAATTTGTCAACTAGGAAAAAAATCTAGAAATAACTATATAAATGCTATCTATCCTAATATTCCCACCTACTACAATGAAATGTTAGCTTAAAGGAACCACTTAGATTTTACTGGGGCTTATACTGATTCATGTCTAAAAATCAATATGAAATAAAATCAAGAGGAATAAAAAAGTTTATAAGCTCTCCTAAATTTACCAAATGCAAGGTGATTTCTTTGGAGATAGTGTACCTAGATACTGGAGTAAAAAGATGCACTTATGTGTTTCTTATATAACCAGGATATGGGAACTGACAGCAAAACCAGAGCTGGCATAGGGATTCCAAGATCTTTCTAAATGGTTGCTTGTAGTAAACTGAATGGTCTAGTGGTCTAAAAGAATGTGCAAATTTAGCTTCACAGGTTGGTTAATGTAGAAACAGCTACCTAAACCTAGCCCCAGGAGAAAATGTCATTACTGAAGTGAGGTGGAGGGAAAGGATGAGGTACATCTACAATATACCTCTTATGATATACAGAAAGGCACAATTTAAACTTCTGTAAGTTTGAAAACAGCAAAGCTGGATTACTAGAATGAACCTAGTTAAGAAAGTTATTTTACACTTTTTACTTCCTTGTGATATTCCCACTTCAATCATAAAAATGCCAGGGGCACTTTAATGTCTGAAGCAGTAGGAGCTAAATAGCCAGAGAAGTGAGGAAAAGTCACTGCAAGTTCACTTCAGCCAATTGATTTGAAACAAATTCAAGATGAGTTTTTAAAAGAACCAGAAAACATCTTTTTCTTTTTCTCTTTTGTAGATTGTATGTCTTTTTCTGATTGTTAGTTAGCTTTTAGATTCTTAGATATTGCCTGAGTTTTAAGTTCAGTTTCAGTTTCACAGCAATATTGGGAGAAAGGTGGAAAGGTTTCTCCCATAGTCCAAGCCCTAAAGCATGCAAAGACCCCCCAGACTTGATCAGCCACCCTCACAAGGAAATAATTTTTAATTTAAATAAAGAACCTATGCCCTTATTATAGTGTAGACAGTAAAGTATTTTATAGATTTTTTAACATGAAATTGGACTGTGGGTGATTTGATTGGTTCATTCATTCATTCATACATTCATTCACTCTGGACAAAAATCATTGTATAGGTTACTCAAGACTTCCTCCACAGGCTACGGCATTGGGGTATACTTGGATTGAGCAAGGGTCTATGGGGTGAGAAATGGATGTGTAGGGAATAAAGGTGTAACCAAATACATTTTGCTTTCATATAGGTAAAAAGAACAATCCAAACACAATGTATCTATCTCTCTATATATAATATAATACAATGGGTATCTTTCCTTTTCACTTTTATTTCATCACTATTTAAGCCTGTTATTTCTACAAAGGGTTCAATATAGCATTCTGAATGACAATTACATATAAGTTTTGTCACAGGATTTGTGGGCCGTATTTTTAACTGTATGTTTTCTATCTTCTTCTACGTGTTTTCACCTAGGAATTATCGTGGATAGCAGAAGATCTTGGAACAAATGACTTCTTTTGATGGTATTTGTAATCATCTTTGCTCGTTTATATCTTATCAAATAGAAATGTGTGGTGCTAATTTCACAGCTGATATATCAAGCACTTTACACTTTATTCATTTCAAAGAATGTCACGTTAACAACAACACAAAATAAATCATCAGCAAAAAAAAAAAAAAAATTCTGCCCATTTACTTTTATTGCAGGATTACTGTATAAAGGTCAAGTGGACAGCAAACGCAAGTTAAGGAGGTCTGGAAGTTTAGATGGGGACTCACCGGAGTTGGGGTCAGAGTTCCCGTCTGCTTCGGTCCTCTTGTCCGGAGAGGCCTGGTCGTAGAATTCGTCCTGTGGCTGAACCAGAGGAAGAGGGTGTGAGATCAGGGTTCCACTACCCACCGGCTCGTGATCCCCAAGACCACTGTCACTGCAGCTTTCCTGGGAGCCGTCGGGGAGGTGAAAGGTAACACGACGCTGCGACTACAAAGAAGACCACAGGACATGCAGGTTAACACTCGCTCCTCCCAAGCAAAACCTCACGCGCAGCAGACAACAAAATCAAACAAGTCTTTCCACAAATGACACAAAGTAAAATCAAAATATATAAGACCAAGAGCAAAGTTAAAAACAATCATTCACCATTTGTCGTTTATTGGATAATGGCCAACTGGCAAAATACCAAGAAGAATTTCAATATTGAGTAATTCAAGATCATAATATGAATGTAAAGTTTTTTTTCTTTCTTTTCTTTTTTAGTATGACAAGAAAGTCTAAGAGGATATTTATATCAGCCATCAAAAACATACATACATAGATCTAGGAAGAAATAAGTAGCTATCTCATAAATGTTATTGGATGCATCTATAAAGCAGTATTCTATTTCCTTTGAATGAGTAGCAACTATGAAGTAAGTTTTACTGTTAATTTTCTCACTAAGATATTTCCTGCAGTGGACTTCTATTTGTCTGTAAATCAAAATTGGAACAATTTTGTAAAATTATTATTTCATATAACCCATTTGGTGAATTTGCAATCGATATTTATGAAATGAGACCATTTAAAAATAATTACTGAGACATTAGTAAGTTGTTTTACCTCCTAGTCCAGATGTTTCTACTGGCCTTTGCTTTGGGAAATTTTAAAACATTTCAATTGAAAAGTGACTAGAATATTACTTTATAAGTATTTTTACAATGCCATTCTCAGAAGGGAACTATAGCATGGCTTTGGTTACTGCAATAAATATTAGCTTTGTGCACTACAGCACAAACCTCAGATTAGTTTTCTTTGTAGCTGGCATAATCCTTAAAATATTTGAATATTAACTGCTAATGTGAGGTGATATTTGAGGTCTTAGAGAAATAGATGAGAAATATTTATTGGTCCTATAGTGCTGAACTTATGTTCATTGTGTTTTAGTGGCCAAATATCTTATAATGTCATATCATTATGAGACTGCTTTTATTCAGTTGCTATGGCATTATTAACAAATAAACAACATACATAATGTAAAGATGTATAACATGTAATAGAAGCATTTCCTAAAACTGAATGTTTGTACTTTTCAAGAGAAGATTGAAAAATTGCATTTCACAGAAACAGGAATGTACTTAGAAGCAAATGTGATAGTCCTGCCACAACTCAATAAATATGCTTTTATAGACAGAGAATAGCACAGAACCTATTTTCTATGAGTCACTGGTTCAAATCCAGCTCAGAGTCATAATAGAGAAGAGCTGATCCCACTTTATTGCTGTTCAATGACCTGTATGAAATGAGTTGACAGTTCAGTACATTTTTAATGAACTGACACCAACATCACATAAACTATAATCATAAACGGTACTAATTGTGTCTCATGTAGCACATTTCACCTTCATGCACAACTCTTCAGAGCATCATTCTCCTCTCAAAATTTTTTGCCATATACCTAGGTGAGGCCTATCAAAAAGACAAGCCAAATTTGAATGTACTTCTTGTACAATGATCTTGCCCTCACTTTTATTTATCACAGTGTTTTATTTCTCATAAATTTTTCCTGTAGGAGCAATCATTACATTACAGTTGCTATTTCATAAACCCTTAATCTATAGTAGTAGTCTTCTGATGTAGCATCATTTTTAAGAACATTGATCACATTTTCTTTTATACATAACTATCAAACATGCCTTTAAAGTGATTATCCAGCTAAAAAGTCTTGAAATTATCATGGGTGTTATTTCCTGAAGGGTCCACCTTCATTAACTCTCAACTGATGAAAAGAAGCAACATTAAAAAAAAAAGAAAAAGAAAATTAATGCAACAGATTATTCTTTAGTCTTATAAATCATTTATGGAAGCTTCATAAGCCAATGAGAGGTATCTACTTTATTATAGATGAGAAATATTTATTTGTGGCAAGTATAGTAATCATACTTGTTGTTTTAATTATAATGAATTTTCTCATAAAAAGCAGCATGTGTGCACCACTGTCTATGCCTTGAGGCAGCATTTCTTCCTGTGTGGACTTTAAAGTATGTATTTATTGAGCATCTTCTGTATGCAGTGTACTTTGACTGCACTGAAAATAAGAAGCAAGAAATTCCTAAAAGTGTTGCAAAGACAACTGTAATATTCCATCTCACATATATTAAAACTGTGTTGTTTTAACACTTTGTGAGAATAAAAGTAAATATAAATTCAGTGTATGTTTTGTAATGAGACACTAGAAGTAGATTGATATAATGTTCAAACTGCTGTAGCTTGTGAAGTTACTTCTTAATTAATTTGACACAAAAAAGTTTAAGACTTAATTGGCAGAATTGTACCCACTTTATCAAGCTGCTGAGAGGGGAAGGTGCTGATCTATAGGAAGTATGAATTCCAACATGAATATTATAATATGAAGTGAATTGATCAGGCAAATTTATCTTTAGGTTTTCATCACAATAATTGATGTAGGTAGAGAATGAACTATCAAAGGAGATATAAGATAAAATCTGAATAAGTTGAAATGCTGACATCTGAGATGCAGAGAAAGAACATACAACAGGAGATGTGGTTGCCCTTAAGGATTGAACAACACTTGTTTGAATTAAATTGAAGGGAACCAGATGAAAAGGCAGAAGTCATCTGGTTTGGAGCTCTTGTTTAGTAGAGATGACCCAGTTCAAGGTACTTTATCTATGAATGAGTTCCTGGCTATGGAAAAGAAAGATATCATAGGGCCATATTGTATGTCTTACTAAATAAAAGGTGGCTATAATTTGGTAAAGTTAAAACTTCATGTTTAATTACTGTCTTGTTGATGATCAGAAAGTTTTAACTGGTGGTGTATCTTCTCTGGGCTTGGCAGGGAAAGCAAGTATTGTTCTAGAAGAAAATGTGTGAAACAATTTTGACTAATATTGTGCTTGCAAGTCTGCTTAGGGCCTGTTCTCACCGACTAGTCTAGATGATAATGCAGGGTAGCGAAGACAGTCTTATGAGAATTGGAAGAATTGCCCATTATCCATATTTAGAGAGAAAAAGATGGAGAAGTCATTATTTATTGCCTCTGAAAATGTTGTTCCTTGGCTTACACTTATGGAAATACAACTCAATCAGAGTTATAAATTTTGTCCAAACCTCTCTAACTGAACCTGAACACATATGACCCTGAGACTACTTCAGATTTTCCAGAGCCTAGACTCTTATATTTTGTTTTCTAAAATCTATTGCTTACCCAATAAATTTCTCCCTTGGAGAACACCGTCATTATTATTATTATTATTGGCACAGCTTGGTTAATGGTTGAATGTCACATTTGTTTACCTGATTTATCACTGATAGTTTACTCCAGATCCTAGCTGCCCAGCAAAAGAATGGATGGAAAATATCACTACCTAGACTGATTTACACTGTTTTCCATCAGAGAATCTCATGTGAATTCTGACAGAAATTGAACAAGCAAAAAATGTCACATAAACATACATGGCTCTGTCGGGGAGTATGCAACTCTTAAGGGATGGTTTAGAGGAATGATTTGAGGAACCTCTCCCAACAACACTTTATATAAAAATATATACACATATACAGGAGTTTGAGCTCACTAAAGACTTCTTTTTACACTTTACCTGTATATATATATATATATATATATATACATAATTTTAAAGTATTTGTACAAAAGTGTTGCTCCTTAGCAAAGCAGTTTATGAATTTGGTGCATCTTGAACAATATCGCCCCTTGCAGCCTTCCTACCCACCCCTACCAACTCTCCCCATGGCTAACTTATCTTAATTTTAGGATATATATTGATTTTTTTTCCTTAAAATTAACAAAGCAGTTTATGTGTACTATGCATTTCCATCTGTGACACCAGTTTGAAATCTTCACCCCCTCCTTTATATCCTTCCTTTATATTTCTCAAGTCTGTTGTATATAAAATGAATTCTTGGCCTGCATTCTCCCCCTATATCCCCTTCATACTTCTCCCCTCTCTACTTGGCCCCACTCACCCCTTTTATAAATACCCATTTCCTGGTACATATTTTACTGGGCTTTGACTGAGTCTTTTAAAGAATTGGTCCCGTAGTTCCCCTTATCTGTAATAACTAGTATATATCTAGGACAAGCAGAAGAGGTCAAAAGCTGTATACATATGACCATATAATCTGATCCTTAGTGAGATGAACCCCAACATAGGGACTCAAGAGATTTATATCTTTCTTGTTGTTCTTTTTAATGTATTTATAATGTACTCTGTGATTTTTCTGTTGTTTCTTTTGATGTTCTTCCCCCATGATAAAACCCCTGTTGTCACTGATTTTTATTCTAGTGTCTGGCATCTTGTATACACATTTTTCTAATTTGGGGAGGGGAAGAGAAATAACAAAATGCTGAAATAAGGATACAGGATGACCCACTGTAACAATGACTTTCACAAGACACTATGTTGAAAATGAACTTTACAACCTTGTGGCGGGGAGGGGGGGAGCACTAAGGGAGAAGTAGGGGAGGTAGGGAGGAAAGGGATAGTAGGGAAAAACAAAGAGGGGGTAACATTGCTCAATATGAAATGGACTCATTACCTTGCTCATGTAACTGCAACCCCTCTGTACAATATATTTACAATAAATTATATATTTTTTTAAAAAAGGAAAAAATGTTATTTGTGCTCTCCTTAGAGTCTATTATACTTCAGTTAATTCACTTGTAAGCTTGCTTACTACCCACTGTGTTTATTTGTGGATTTATAGAAACATTCTACCACAAATGAGAGAACCTGTAAGCTATGTTTCTCTGATTCTAGGTTACTTCACTTAATATAATTTTTTCCAAGTCTTTCCTTTTCCTTATACATGATACACAATCATTCTTGATGGATGAGTGGAATGCCATTGTGTATATGTACTACATTTTCTTTACCATTTTGTTTGTTGAGGGGCTTCTTGGGTGACTTAGGCTTTTTAGAGCTCCCTAGTTTTTAGGCCTTTTTTTTTTTTTTTGTCGGTCGTGG